CAACCCGACAGCGCGACTACTAATACCAAATGCCCGCCAAGCCCCGTTCCACATACGTAACGGCACCCGGCAGGGGTGCCCCCTGTCCCCCCTCCTCTTTGCCCTCTCCCTCGAACCCCTCTTGCAACAGATCCGCAATACACCTGCCATACAAGGCATAAAAATAAGAAGGGAAGAATACAAAGTGGCAGCATATGCTGACGACTTGCTTCTAACCCTGACTGACCCAGGGACTTCCCTACCCCCACTGTTAGACTTACTAGAGGCATACGCCAAAATCTCAGGGTACAAACTCAACATAGAGAAAACTGAAGCCCTAACAATCCAAACCCCACCCCACACGCGAACACTACTGCAACAAAACTACCCGTTTCGCTTCCAAACGCAAAGTATCCGTTATCTAGGAACAGAGATACCAGCAGACCTACATTCCACATACAGGCTAAACTACCCCCCATTAATCGACCAGGCCCTGAGAGACCTGCAAACCTGGCAAAAATTATCCATCTCATGGCTTGGGAGGCTGGCAGCGATTAAAATGAACTTACTGCCACGTTTTCTCTATCTCTTCCAGACCCTCCCCATCCCACTCTCACGAGCAGACTTCAAAAATCTCCAAATGCACATTGATAAATTTATTTGGGCGGGGAAAAGAGCTAGAGTAAAACGAATTACCCTGTATATCCCACACAAAAAAGGGGGACTAGGCCTGCCAAATTTCTGGGACTACCACCAAGCATCCCAACTTGCACAAATCCAATCCATGCACGCCCCCCCAGGGGTCAAGCGCTGGGTGGACCTGGAACACGACCTATTCGGACGAGATCTGCCAACACTCTACCTATGGATACCAAAAACACACAGACCACAACAGCCCAACACGACACCAGCCCTCACGACAGCCATCCACATCTGGAACAGGGCGACCGACAAATACAACCTCATAAATACTCCCTCACCCCTTATGCCTGTGCTGAGGAACCCTCAATTCACCCCGGGAATGACGCCCCAACATTTCATCAGGTACGAGGACAACGACCTTACGAGAATCTGTCATTTTTATAGGAACGACCGCCTTATCCCCTTCCCAGAATTGCCAAACGCCACACCATATAACACGTTTGACCACTTTAGATACCTCCAACTCCGAAGCTTCCTGTCAACCCCTACCATAGCCGCTGCGGCGGTGTTGAAACCCACTGCATTCGAAAGGGACTGCCTGAGCAACCCAATACACAAGGGCCAAATCTCCAACCTATATAACCTCATAACACTTAAAACCCCACCTGACGCCCTCTCCTACGTAAAGGCCTGGGAAAGGGATCTTGGTCCCCCGGGGGACCCCTCGGACTGGGCTGACATATGGGAAGCAACAGCGACAGTGACTATCTGTGTTAACCACAGAGAGCAGGCGTATAAGACCCTGCTCCGGTGGTACCTCACCCCCCTGAGACTCAAACAAATGAAACGCACAGACTCGGACAGATGCTGGAAGGGATGTGGCGAAAAGGGAACATACATTCACGTGTGGTGGCATTGTCAACACTTAACTCAAATATGGAAAGAGATGGCCGCTGCCACCTCGAGAGCATTACAAACGGACATCCCCCTAGACCCATGGACCTGGCTGCTGTCCAGGCCCCTAGAAAACCTGACCCGAGCACAAAACAAACTAGTAGCAAAGGTGGCCCTAGCAACGCGTAGAACTATAGCCACCCACTGGGGCAGCCCAGAAATCCCAACAGCCTCGGAGGCCCAGAGAAAGATTAAAGAGGCCATGGAGATGGACGAACTGTCCGCCCTCATTCATGAGAACACTAGATCTTTCCATAAGATCTGGGACCCCTGGTTGGCATTGTAGGACTTCGCGAGCGGGGAAGGGGGGGGGGAGAACAGCCCCCCCCCTTTTACCACAATCCACCCCTACCCTACACCCGCCCACAACACACATCAAAGCACCACAACCAGCAGAAAACAATTGCACAAACCTGCAAACATCACGACTACAAGCAACCACCTGAACCAACTCAGGTGAACCCCACAAGCTCAACCACACAAACACATCAAACTGATATTACGACACAAGGACACTCTCCAAGTTCTAAACCCCTAAACCCCCGACCCCAGAGGCACCACCTCACCCCCAGAGGACAGAGACAGGGCAACGCAACGGACAGAGTACGACAACGACTCCTCACAAAGCCCACGCCCTAAGCGAAAACCAGGTTTGAGCCTCACAGCGTATCACCAAAACCCATCGCCTAGGGCCTACTCCCTAAACTCAGGGCACACGGTGGTTAAGCCTAACAGAGGGGACACCCCCATCCATCTTACACACCCGACCCTTCCAGACCCATAGCAAGGGGAGTTACATGTTGGACAACTGAAACAACGAATGTAAACAGGGAAAGAGTAATGAGCACAAATGTAACCGATTTAACTGTAACATGTTGCACCCCTTTTTTCCTTTCTGTACCCCGTTTTGTTTAAAAAAAAAAACAAAAACAAAAAAAAACAATAACTTCTTTTGAAGATCCAAAAATAAAGAATTTATAAAAAAAAAAATGAAACCAATAAGATCAGGGAAGTTTTTGATGCCACAAGGGGAATTTTTAAGGCAACAGCCGACCCCACATCATATGATTAATATAGAAGGCTAATTATCCCACGAAGCAGTACAGATGCTAATCTGTAACAAAATCAGTTATTCCTGCCTGTGCAGGCTGTTTACTGAGTTCTTCAGATGAAGAGAGGCTGAACTTCATCTAGAAGCCCATGGTACACATGGGAAGGTGGCCCAATTGTTTTTTTTTCCTGTCCTGTTCCTGATTGGGGCGGAGCTACCCATAAGTGATGCTGCCATGATTAGCCAGGAAATGAGGTTTATTTACTGCTGTCTCAATGCTCTGGTCCAAATTTTCAAAAATCATCTGTATCTACCTTGGGCATTTGGAACATTCAGACATTATCACTTAAAGGGACACTGGGCAACGATACTATTTAATGCCTAATCAACTGTATGCATACAGGTCAGTCACTGACCGCAATGAATTATTCAAGAAACAAAATAACTGGCATTAGATGGAGAGGACATTTAGACACATATAGTAAGGATATCACTACCTGTGTGCAGTTTCTCTGGCTGTCTGCAGCCTGATTGTATTAAAAACGGTTTACTACAACTGTTGGGGCTGAAACTGTATTTTGATAAGAAAGGTTTGCTGGCATGAGGGAGCGTGATTAAATAGACAGTTGTATGCAGGGCCGGATTGAACACAAGATGAACTAGGCAGCTGCCTAGTGCACGCTGGCCTGGGAAATGTAATTTAAAGTGACCGGCAGGATGGGAGCCCACTGCTGGAGGGAGGGGATCTGGCATGAGGGGGGTGAAACCACAAATGGACATACAGTGGGCTGAGTAGAGGGGAAAGAGGCACACAGAGGGCTGGGAAGGTGGGGGAAAGAGCCACGCAAAGGGCTGAGGGGCAAAGAGGCACCTAAAAGGACTGGTAGGGACAAAAAGACATACAGAGGGGCTGTGGAAGGTGAAAAAGACACACAAAAAGGAGTTAGGGGAGAAAAACAGACAAAGGGGCTGTGGGGAAGAGACACAAAGTTGACAACTTTTGTTATTGGGGGGGAGGGGATAGCTGGTCCTATGCAGCAAAATAGTCTTGTATTGGCCCTGGGTTTTTGGTGCAGCATTCTGAAAAATATTTATTTATTTTGTGCAAAAACTATTAAGATGTCAGCATGCAAAACAAATACAGCATATGTTACTTCCATAAAATTTATACATTATTTAGAAATGTGATGGAGGTAACAGACATCTGAAGTGCATAAGACAGCCTTTCCCAATAGGTGTTCTGCGGAATCCGAACACCAATTGGGGTTTCCCCAAAAGTTAAAAAGGGATCTCACTGCTCAGGTCCCTCGCGCGCACTGCAGTGATGCTGGAGCCGGAATATAATGTCACTCTGGCTCCGGCATCACTAAAAGGTGCGCAAGGGAGCTGACCAGAGAGATCACTGCTCCCTCACCGCCCACCCGCCAGCCGCTCAGCAGCCCCACTGGACCCCAGGGACTCCATGCTAGCACTCTTAAAGGTAGGGGGGCTGGGTAGAGTAAAATGTAAGGGTCTGTTAGGGAATTTGCATGTGTTTGTGTGTCTGTCAAAGAGTATATGTGTGTTTGTCAGTGAGAGTGAATGTGTTCTTGTCGGTAAGTGTGTGAGAGTGTATGTGTTTGTTAGTGAGAATGTATCTGTTCTTGTTAGTGAGAATGTATATGTGTTTGTATGTGTGTCTGTAAAAGAGTATGTGTGTTTGTCAAAGAGTATGTGTGTCTTAGTGTGTCAATGTGTGTATGTGTGTCAAGGTTTGTGGATGTGTCACTGTGTGTATCTAAGTGTGTGTGTGTGTATGTGCCAGTGTGCATTTGTGTGTTTGTATGTGCCTGTGTGTGTATATGAGTGTGTCAGTGTGTGTATGTGCCAGTGTGTATCTGTGGATTCAAGTGTATGTATATGTCACTGTGTGTATCAAGAGTCAAGATGTGTGTATCTGTGTCTCAAGGTGTGTGTCAGTGTGTATCTGTGTGCTACTATGTGCCAGTTTGTGTGTATCTGTGTGTCAGAGAAATACACACACACACACACACACAGATACACACTGACACAGAGATACACACACTGGCGCATAAAAACACAGGTATACACACTTTAAAACATAGATACACACATCTTGACACACAGATACATACACACACAAACAGATACACACTGTGTGTCAAGGTGTGTGTATCTGTGTCAATGTGTGTATCTATGTGCCACTATCTGCCAGTGTGTGTATCAGTTTGTCAGATTCATACACACTTGCACATGCAAACACAGATACGCACACCTTGATACACAGACACATACAAACACAGATACACACACTTTGACACACAGATACACACACCTTGACACACAGATACATACATACATACACACACACAGATACACACTGTGTGTCAAGGTGTGTGTATCTGTGTGCCACTGTGTGTATGTATCTGTGTGTCAGATATATATACACACACACAGATACACACACTGGCACATACACACACACACACACACAGATATACACACCTTGACACACCGGCACATAAAAAAACGGCGCAATTTTAAATTTTTTTTTCAGGGGGGAAGAGAGGGGGGTTCTACGATGTTGATTCACAATGTTCCACAAGAAAATTTAATTGGGATCCCCTGGCATAAGGTATACTATACACTGTAGTTTTTGTGATGTAATTTTTTTTTTTTTTCAATTTATATTTTATTCAGTTTAAAATAGCATAATCAACTTTTCCAATACATCCATTTAAGTATTAAATGTGAGCATTTTGACATCGTAATGGGAATGAAAACATTAATGGGTGCATCAGTAGGGATCAATAGCCAGATGTTGGGCAGTCTCTGTTGTCTTTATGTTGTTGTTTTGTGATCGTTCGAGGACCCTAAGGAGCTGTGTCCAGTGGCAGAATTCTGGGGACCATTGTGTCATGGTGTGTTACAAACGGTTTTTGTAACTCCTTCTGTTTCTGTGTGGTCCACGTTACTTGTCGGATCTGAGTCTTGCAGCCTGGGGCAGTGGAGTCAGCTGCTTAATCGTGTTGTTGGATGGCACACTGTGCCGGCGTTTGTTAATGCTCTCTGGGTCCCCTGGATTCTTGGTGGGAGGCGAGGTCCCTTGCTGTGGCATGTTTGTCAAGCCGGCCCTTTGTAGGAAGAGCTCCAGGTCATCCCCCGAAGTAAGTGTGCAGCTCTCCCCTTCAATTTCTGTGAGGAGGGACCCCTCCATGCCCCAGAGATACCTGATAATTTCCTGGCTATAGGTGCCAGTTGTCTCTTCTCCGTGAGGATGGAGAATGGTATATCTGGGTAGACAGCTATCCCGTGGCCTTCAATAGATACCGTCCCCATCTCTCTGAATTTTGTCAGTATGGCAGATCTCGCGGAGATGTCCCGAGTCAGCACGATGACGTCTCTAGGTGCTGCGTTGGGTGCTGCTGTAGACTTCCGTACTCTGAATGCCGCAGTGATCTGTGGTAGGTCGGGGTTGTCGGTAATCCCCATGGCTGTCAGGAGGCTGTGAGTGTAAGGCAGGAGTTGTGTGTTGTCGACTTTTTCGGGGATGCCTCTGAGGCGTAGGTTTTTCCGCCTGTCCCTGACCTCCATTGTGGTGATTGTGCGTCTCATTTGCTTTACCTGTGAGGTAAGTTCTTGTATGTCTCGGCCTGTGGTCTGTATTTTTTCGTCCCTGGAGGTTTCTTTTGTTTCTAGGCTGTTGACTTTCTGTCGTACCTCCACCACCTCTCTCTGCACTTTCTGGAGGTCGTCCCTCCAGATCTGCCTCATCTCTGCCAGAAGCCTTTTTATGTCGCCTTTTGTGGCAAGTGCCTCATCTTCCTCAGACTCCATGGCGGAGGATCGAGGAGAGTGTAATGAGTCTTCCTCCTCCAGGGAGGTTTCAGATGCCTCGGATACGCAGTAAGCCTCAGGCGCCATCTTAGGTCTCTGTGAGTTCACAGGCTTCTCGAAAGCTAGTCTGATGTCCGGCTGTTGATGCTTGGCTGGACCTTGGTGCCTCTTATTTTTCTTCCCCATTCTCTCTGCTTTGGGGGTGTCTGTCTCCCGGGTAGAATTTCCACGATATTGTGGTATTTTTCCCGTGTATTGCTCTGGGTCTAAGTGGAGCTCCGTGAGAAGATGTCCGCTCGGTTTCGTTGTTGGCCACGCCCCCCGTGTGATGTAATTTTGATATGTTAGCAATCAAGCTTAATGTTTTGATTTAATAAACCAGTGACCTGCCATATCACAATACTCCAAACATTTACAGGGTTATTTACTCAAATTATGAATTCAAAGTGAATTGCAAATTAGCCAAAAGTAGACAAACTGCAAGCATAGCTGAGTTGGAGAATTTTCCCAATTCAGTTATTTTGGCCTGGCATTTAAAATTCTCACTTTAGTAAATATCCCTGTTCCTCACTAAGCATCAGCTTTTGAATTGCACAATTTAGGGAAAATCCACAAAATTTGTATTGTCATTTTCATTGTATTGTCAATTTGGATACTAGCTCTGAATTTCTATTACAAATGGAACATAAATAAGGAAAATAAAATAAAAATAAATAAGGAAATAAAATAAAAAATCTAGATTTTTTTTTAAACCAAATTAACCTCCAATTTGTACAGTTGGATGTGCATGCAGATTTACTTGCCTGTTTTTTGTTGGTAAAATTTCACAAACAGCCAGAAAACAAAGGTTTAGCAACATAAGTAAAAAAAAAAGAAAAAGAAAAATGAAATAGCAACATAAGTAAAAGAAAAAAAAATTTAATAAAAGAGCTCCCTGAAACCTTTAATTTACCCAACAACCATAGAAATATGGGCTCTCATACATCCCCTATGGTATGCAACTTAAAAGTTAGTGTATGCATCATGTTTTACTGGACACATATCACTAATAAGAATTGATTGGAAGCACTAGAAAAGTTTGAGGAATTCTATAGTTTGAGTCCTAAATAGCATAGGGCAGTAATTCTGATGTGCCTCACTCTTAGACTGCAACCTTAACTCTTTCCAATGAGTTCCTTTTTAATAGCGTTTTAATGACGCTTCATGTTTACAAATCCAGCATCATTCTAGTGTCCCTATATTGAATGGTATCAGTGGCGTATAAAACTATACAATTTTCACTGTGCGCCACTTGAGCTTTCCTTGCACGTGAAACACCGAAACACCGCTTTTAAACAAAAGGTCTGGTATCCACAGCACGTAGCCAAACATGGTATTTATAAATAGAACAGTGAACGTTAGAAATAGCTCCATGGATGCAGGAGTGTCAAACAGCATGAAACTAAAAGACTGAGACAGGATAAATATGTGGGATCTCTCTACGTTGCAAGTGGAGATTCTGACATTTGTTCAAGAGCAAGGTTATCTTTGAAATGTACACCATATTTTGCCCTCTGGGGAATGAATTTTGATACGTTTGCTCTACGAAATCCACATGAAACTTGCAGTTATTTCATAGGACCAGAGGACAGACACATTTATTATGTTTTTCGTCAAAGGTTCGACTATATTAAATAACAAGTACTTATAATATATCAGTACTTTATGATGTCAGACGTGCAATTTTCAGGTCAACAAATAAGGATTTGTTGACTACAGAGGCATAGGTTTATTATTTAGAGCAGTGATTTCCAAGCCATACTTCCCAACTTTTCAGGAGTTGGGTAGGATGGAATAAAGGGGGTGGTGATAAGTGGTCAGCCCTGTCTGAGAAAGGGGTGGGTCGGCCCATAAAGTCAGCAGTCCACCAGAAATGCATCCATTTTAGCCTCTCTGGCCAACATTACTCAGGGAAGTGCACAGGATAGATCTTATAACAATGATTAACATTAAAGTGATTTAAGGGCTATTTAGATTAAGGGTCCCCAAAAGATAGTTAAAATATTGCACACTAGTCTTTCTACATCTACTTCTCCTCCCCTGGCTCAGAAGAAAAGTAAATTGCAGGATAAGATTGTGTGCAGTATAGAGAAATGTATGATGGGAGGGGCATATTTGTTGTGAGGTGCAAACTCTTTGTCTATAAATAGGGAAAATATGAATGAAAGTATTTTCGATCCTATGGCACATGTCATAGTACTTGCATAGTATTGTACTTATGCATTGCGAGTTCACAAAGAGACTGGCTAATCATTTACTGCTTTACTCCTCTATTGCACTTCTAAGTTAGAGATATATTGATGTACCAGTGGTTTCAGCGATTGGGATCAGGGACTTAGCATTAAAAAAATAATAATAATGATAATATATATGTGTGTGTGTATTTATTATTATTTTTTTTTTAAATGGCTGTTCTTAGGAGTGAAAGTTATTGAGATACCCATGGCCATCTTAATTCTATAACAAATTTGCTCCCAAGCTCCACCAAACAGCTAATGCTCTCCCCTCCCTAGCATCGCCAGCATTAGTCTGCAATATCTAAAATCATTTTATGCAGAAATGAGCCCTGCTGGTCTAGTATGCAGATCTAAGACAGTTGTGTTTCTAGGAAAGTGCACCTACAACGGCGTCCTCCCTTTGGACCATTAATCTCAATGCTAAAATACATTGTCTGTTAATAATCTCTATTTTGGGCCCAAATCTCTCTGACTTTTTTTCCTATCCTAATGTTCTTCTTTTTTAGGAGCTTCATATTCCTGGTATTTTAGATTTTTTTTCAAAAGTATAATCTTTATATATAAATATATATAATACAGAGGTTACATTGTATTTCATGTTTCACAATTTCAATAGCATTTAAAAAAAAAAAAAGAGAAATTGTTATTTTAAGTAATCTCTTTTTAGAGGATAATCTTTCATTTATTACGTAGCAGTAAATCAATGTTGTAACAATGTCTCATTGTTGTTATCTTGGAGGTACAATATGTACATATTCTTTTTTTTTTATTTCTCTTTTGAATAAACCACGTCACGTGCTAACTGAGAGATAGGAAAACCAAAGATAAAGAAGACAGCAATAAAATAATTTCTTTAAAAAAGTAGAAAATAAAGGGACGCATATGGGGAGGATGAAAGGGGGAACGGAGTCCCTTCTTTCCTGGTCTAGTATCTTTTTTTTGGGTTAGTTATTGTAGTGTTCTTCCCATGTTTTCAAAATGTTGTGAAACTTTTTTTTATGGACCCTAGATCCTCCTGTATCATCTCTTCATAACGTTTGGCTCATTTGAGTGCACTAATGACTAACGAAACTGACAAACTCCTAACTGAATTCCAATATTTCTCAATATTATTTTTGGGTGTGTCACTTGGCAGAAATATATGTTTGTACTCAAATCAGGAAGGCCATTTAATACTTCTATTCTGCTTAAATTCGTAATGCTGAAAGCACTAAAACAACTTCAGATGGTGCAAAGCAGTTCTCATTAACAGATGTATAAAGTTAATTTAAAATCAATTGATGATTTTCCACTGATATCCTTATGTAAAAAATGTAGCCGTGTTTTATCTCTCTCATCTCCACCTACTAATTACCTGATTGATGCTGTAGCTTGGATACTACCTGTTTTAATGG